GGGTAAGTAACGCATTTGCTATTGGTACCAACCATATGGGTAAGTAACACAACTATTCTTGGTAGCAACCATATGGGTATGTAACCCAAGTACTCTTGGTTCCAACCATATCGGTAAGTTACGCACTTTCCCTTGGTACCAACCATATGTGTAAGTAACGCATTTACTAGTGGTACCAACCATATCGGTAAGTAACGCACTTACTCTTGGTACCAACCATATCGGTAAGTAGCACCCTTACCCTTCGTACTGACCATATCAGTAAGTAATGCACTTAGACTTAGTACCAACCATACGGGTAAGTAACGCAGTTACTCTTGGTACCAACCGTATCGGTAAGTAACGCACTTATTCTTGGTACCAACCATATTGGTAAGTAATATAGTTACCTCTTGGTACCAACCATATGGGTAAGTCACACACTTACCCTTGGTACCAACCAGATGGGTAAGTAACACACTTAGTCGTAGCACCAACCTACGGGTAAGTAACGTAGTTACTCTTGGTACCAACCATATGGGTAAGCAAGGCACTAACTATTGGTACCAACCATATCGGTAAGTAACGCACATATTCGTGGTACCAACCGTATCGGTAGTTAACGTACTTACTCTTGGTACGAAACATATCGGTAAGTAACGCCCTTACCCTTCGTACCGACCATATCAGTAAGTAACGCACTTAGTCTTAGTACCAACCATATGGGTAAGTAACACACTTACGCTTGGTTCCAACCATATCGGTAAGTTACGCAATTACCCTTCATACCGACCATATCGGTCCGTAAAGAACTTACCCTTCGTACCAACCATATCGGTAAGTATAGCCCTTACTCTTCGTACCGACCATATCAGTAAGTAACGCACTTAGTCTTAGTACCAACCATACGGGAAGTAACGAAGTGTTGGGTGCAAATTCACATTGCACGACATCCTGCCGTCTGTTTGTACGAGTATGCGTGTGCGAATGCATTTGGGTGTGAATGGAATGTTCGTGTGTTTGTTTGCTTTCGCAATTTTCGCTTGATGCATTTGCAGGTACTCGCGCAATGTGCGCTTCGGCACAACATTGTACGCGCTATGAACAGTGCAAGCAGAAAGGACGAGCTCGCAAAGGAACCCAAGATAGAAGCTTTGCAGTTTGGTTGAATTGATTGCGCAGATTCAGTTCTATCCAACTCGAAATTGTACTGTTTTGTTTGGTTGACTATAGTGTAGCAGGGCAGGCACTATAGGGGTACAATTTAGGTGAAGGTTGGATGTTGTTTGTCTGTATCTGCATGCTACAGGGCCAGGGGAAACCAGCGGAACCAGCATTTGGCTGGTTGGGCAAAGACAAAACAGGTTCTGTTTTTAGGACCTGAACCTGGTTGTTGTTTTCCCAGGTTGGAAAAACAGAACCAGAGGTTGTTTACCAACCTACCACCTGCTGTTTTGTCCAGCCAGGTTTGTTCTGTTGCTTGGAATTATTTGGGATCATCCCTGGTTGTTCCCAGGTTGATTCCCAAGGTCCTTGCTAGCTAGAACTATTTATTCCTTCTCTGTTTGTACCTGGATATAGTGAAATTGATTCAATCGAATTCCTTCCTTGCTGGAATTTCGTTTCTACGCGGTGCGACGGCGGAATGCTACCGAGTCAACGCTAGTACGCTAGCACTACGACGCTAGGCAAACGCTGTCCGAGTCATAACTTCGTAATGGCAGAACTTTTCGCGAGGCAACTTGGCTCTTTTGAAAGCTCTTAGAGTGAGCTTCGATATAGCGAGTTCTCAGCTTAATCCGATCGACGGTCTGCACGGCACGCTGCGCGACGTTCAAGGTACTCTTGCTGTTTTGACTAAGTCCCTCTTGATCCCTCTCTCTACATACTCGGACCCGAGGATAGGGGCTGGTCTTGTACCAAGCACCCAGGGACCCTTGGAGGTGACCCCGAGGAGAGGTTTTAAGTTGGATAACGTCTTAATAGCCTGAGTTTATTAGGCCCTTACACCAACAAGCTGGTAACAGAGCTGCGTTATAGTGATCCTCGTTATAGGTAGTTATGGCGGGGAAGGATTCGGCGGGAGCTAGTGAATCTTCAGCCCAAGATCGTAGCGGCAGCCAAGATTCTGGTGTTTCGGCGCCAAGGGGAGCGCGAACAAACCAGGGCTCGCTGATCAAGGAGGTGCTGAAAAACTTCACCGTCGAGAAGTTCAATGGTGAGGGCTATGATGATTGGGCCTGGAAAATGCAACTCTATTTCCGTCAGATTGGATTGCTGAAACTAATGATTGGGGAGGAGCCTAGACCGAGTGACCCCGCGCTGCAGGAAGAATGGGACGAGTGCTCCTCGGCTGGCTACTACTTAATGTCGCAGAGTTTGGAGCTGAACCAGCGACACCACGTCATGCACCTGCTGCCGGAGGATAAGTGCGGTCCGAAGGCGTGGACCGTGCTGAAGGAGCTGCACGCCCCAACCTCCATTGCCGCGACGCTCATGATGGAGAGGGAGCTGTCCGCGCTGCGCCTGAGCGAGGGAGAGTTGGTGCAACCTGTTCTGGACAAGATGCGTGATCTCTACGCGAAGCTGGCAACCGCGGGAATCACCTACCCGGAGCAGACCAAATGCTTGAAGATGCTCTCGCTGCTGTCGGAGTCGTGGCTGCAATACACGAGCGGATTGAGCCTGCCGCAGAACCAGAGCTTGTGGACGCTCGAGTGGGTGCGGACGAAGATTCTGGAGGAGGACTTCCGTCGCCGCCAACTGAGGGGTGGAGACGAGGGCAGCAGCGGCTACGGCATGCAAGGAGGCAAACGTGGCAGAGGACGTGGCTTCCGTGGTGCTGGTCGCGGTGCAAAGAAGGACGACGACTCCAACGACCAACAAGGAGGTACCGGTTGGGGTCGCGGTGGGAAATCTGGACGTGGGGGCAGATCGGGTGCTGGTGGCAAAATGAAAGGGAGCTGCTGGTATTGTGAGAAGGAGGGGCATCCCTGGTTCTTGTGTTATAAGAAACCCGAAGGATGGACCCCCCAGAATCGCCATCAGGATGGCGGCGCGCGGAGCAACCAGAAAAGCGGCGCGAACATGGTCGCAGATTCGCCCGACGACAACCCGAAAGGCAAAGGCGGTGCTGAGAAGAAAAAGGAGCGCACCGCGGGACAGTTCTTCCATGTTGGAGACGAGGGGGAGCAAGGAGACGGTTCTGCCAAGGTTGGAGCAGAGCTGCATCCCCTGGACTTTTGGGTGTTGGACACGGGCGCTGCGTGGACGATGACGCCGCGCAAGGACCTGCTAGACGACCTACGCGCTGCACCAATCTCTGAGGTGTGCTCTGCCTCTGGACATGCGTTGAAGGTGGCTGGTGCGGGACGAGCTGCATTCAAGGGAGCGGATGGCAAGCCGGTGGTGCTGCACGACGTTCTGCTCGTTCCCGACCTCAAGGCCAACCTCATCTCCCTCCGTAAGCTCGCCAAGGCTGGGGTGAGTACTAGCACGGATGGGGCACGCACTTACAAGGGGCAGCTGGGCAACCGGGTGCTTTGGGATCTGCACGAGAGCAAGGATGTGTATAGATCCATGTGGCAGTTGCCGGCATTGACGTGGCACGGTGGGGGACAGGCTAGAGAGAGGTATGCATCCCAGGGGGGGTGCAACGCTGTTGGAGCGGTTGGTGTGAGAGTGTCGGCCAGATCCGGGGAGACAGATTGGGCAACGGCACACCGACGCTTGGGGCATGTAGCAATGCCTTTGCTGAAGCAGCTGGAGAAGGATGGGGCCTTCAAGGGTCTGAAGCTGAACGGCCAGCCACCTGATGACAACTGTGAAATCTGCATGCTATCCAAATTCACCCGTTTCCCCTTCCATAGTGTGGCTGGCAGGAGCAAGAAGCCTTTGGAGCTGGTCCACATGGACTTGGTTGGGCCGCTGCGGGTTCAGGGGCACAAAGGGGAGCGGTACTTCTTGACCATAGTGGATGATTGGAGGCGTATCCGCTGAAGCAGAAGGACCAGGCCGCCTCCACGATACGGGATGATTGGCTGCCGTTCGTGGAGAAGCAAGCGGAGTGTGTATTGAAGCGGATCAGAACAGATCGGGGTGGTGAGTTCCTTGGAGCTGAGATGACGGCCTGGCTTAAGAAGCAGGGCATCCAGAGGGAGCTGACCACGGCTTACACCCCACAGTCCAACGGTGTAGCAGAACGGGCGAACCGGACCATTCTAGAGACAGCTAGGGCGCTGCTAATAGAATCTGGGCTGGCCAACTCCATGTGGCCCCATGCTGTCTGGCACGCTACGGTTGCTAGGAACAGGGTTCTCTCCAAGGTTGGGGATGACTCCTGGGTGCCGTTGGAGAGGTGGTTTGGGAGGAAGCCGCCGGTGGACATGCTGAGGGTGTTCCGTTGCACCCACCGAAGTAAGTTGGGGGCAAGTGCAATCTGGTGTGTGCATTTGGGGCAGGCTGCTGAGAGCAAGGGATGGCTGCTATGGGAACCATGCAAGGGTGTGTTGTTTGACAGCAGGGATGTGAAGTTTGTTGAGGGCATGATGTATGGGAGCTGGGAGAAACAGCCGGAGGCTAAGGTGTCCCAGCAGATGGAGCAGATCACCATGCAGCTGGACCTGACTCCTAGTGTGTGGGAGGAGGGAGATGAGGCAGCTGCAGAGGGTGGTGATGGAGAGAAGGTGCAGGAGGCACCTGCTGGTGGAGGAGATGATGTATAGACTAGTGGTAGCACCAGGGAAGCTGCTGGATCTGAGGGAGGAGAAGAACAGCAGGGCAAAGCTAAGGTGCCTAAGCTACCACAAAGGAGGAAGCTGAAGGGTGTCGTTATGAAGGAATGGGAGACACCCGTGTCTAGGCCAGGACGTACTGGGCCGGGTGAGTGTCTCCCCTGGGCCTTGCTTGGATGGGCGGGTGAGTGTCACTCATGCACGCAGTGCGTGGGTCAGGGGGCACTAGTGGCGGACATCAAGAGCTCCGAGGGGTGGCCCGTGGATGGGTGCGCGCTTGCAAGCACCATGCACGCCCACGGCGTCAACCTGCGCTGCCTAGGGCGGGTGAGTGGGCATGCAGGGTGAGTGCAAGGTGGGTGAGTGCATGGTGTATGCATTCTGATACATGTGTATGGATAATCATACACATGCATACGCATCTGTACTCCTCTCCCGCCTTCCCCCTCGATCGTCCCCCCTCTCCCGGTCCCCTGCCCTCCACCACACCTTCTCCCCGTGCGCCCCTCTCCATCCCAAAATTGCCAGGTGGCGAAGGAGGTGGCTGACGTGGAGCAGGTGTATCGGCTGTGCGTAGCTGAAATGGTGGTGAGGGCCACCAAGCACGTTCTTAAAGCTGTTCTCCGCGAGACGCTCGAGCAGGACGTGGCCGGCGCCATCGCCCACTTCCTCAACTGCTCCCTCCCTTGCTGTCTCCCGACTCCCTCAGTGCTCGTTCATTCCCCCTTGCGCTTCCATATCCTGTTCCCTCATTCTCAACCCCTACTCCCTCCACTCATCCTCCCCTCCCCCCTCCCTCCCCCCTTCCCCCCCACTTCCCCCTCCCCCAATGCCAGGTGGCAAAAGAAGTGGCTGACGTGGAGCAGGTGTACTGGCTGTGCGTGGCGGAGATGGTGGTGAGGGCCACCAAGCACGTGCTTAAAGCTGTTCTCCGCGAGACGCTCGAGCAGGACGTGGCCGGCGCCATCGCCCACTTCCTCAACTGCTTCCTCGGCACCTCCACCACCACGCCGCCGCCCACGCTCCCCGGCGTCGGGGATACGGACAAAACGGAGGGCGGCGTGGGCGGCGGCGGGGGGAAGAAGAAGAAGAAGGGGAAGGGGGGAGAGAGGAAGGATGGGGAGGAGAGGAAGGAGGAGGGGGAGGAGAAGAAGGAGGCGTTTCTGTTTGTGGTGGATGTGCCGGGGTATACTCGTATCACGGCGGATATGGTGTGGTCTGATATCACTGAAGGCGTCAAGTACAAGTATCAGACTATTCTGAGAATATCAAGTGCTACAAGGCTCTCTCCCTGCTTCCGGAGTCGTGGGGGCCCTTGGTGGTCAACCTTAAAGCCCAAGACCCGAATTACAAAAAAAAACTAAGGCAAACTCTGCACAGTTTGCCTCCCGCAGCCCACAGTTTTGCCCTGCGTTGACTTGCGTTGAGCAATTCTGGTCTTGGGCTTTAATGGCATGAAGGACGCATGGTCGCTCGAGTGGATCCGTGCTCAAAGTCCTTCAAGAGGAGTTTCGGAGGAAGGAGCTGACCGCCGCTGCCAGTGAAGGTGGAGGCTCTGCCTACGGCATGAAGGGCTTCAAGGGGCGTGGCTGCAAGAAAGGCAAGGCCAAAGAAGGCTTTGGAGGGGAGAAGTATTCGGGAGGGAAGCGTGGCAACAGGGGAGGCAAGCGGTGTGGCGGCAAGTGTTGGTATTGCCATGTGGAAGGTCACCCATGGTTCAAGTGCCACTACCTAACGGTTGGAGGCCTGGTCAGCCATTAATTGAGGGCTCCAAGGGTGTTCATGGAGCTATGGTAGAAGGCATGGGCAATGAGGAGGGCGACGGAGGTGCTGGCGGACATGGCGCCATGTTCTACCATGTAGGAGAGGCATGCTCCGAGGACATGGTTGTACCGGCCAGCAAGGTTGCTCTTCACCGTTCCTCCCATTGGGTCATTGACACGGGAACCTTCATGACCATGACCAACCGAGAGGATATGCTGGATGAATTCAGGCCATCAAAGGCAGCCACCGTCGTTTCAACCACCGGCCAAGTTGTACCCGTGTGTGGCGAGGGGAGAGCCATGTTTATGGGTGCGGATGGTAGGCTTGTGGGGCTGAAGCGTGTTCTTCTTGTCCCTGGACTATGTGCCAACCTTCTCTCTACCAAGGCCTTGAGTGAGGCAGGGATGAAGATGGAGATGATGGGCACAAAGGTGTTCAAGGCAACTCTGGATGGGCGCGTGTGGTGGGACCTCCGATGCGGCAAGGACATGCACCGGTCCATGTGGGAGATACCGGTGCTGCCATGGAAGGAGGCGGCTGCGCGCTTGGCTGCTGAAGCTGTAAGAGGAGGGCATGCAAGCCACGTAACCAGTGGAGGAGGTGGTGGTGGCAGTGATGGTGGGCTACTTGTGCATGGGGGGGGGTGCGCTACCAAATGTAACTCCTAGCACGGGTGAGACGGATTGGCTCACCGCACACCGTTGCTTTGGCCACGTGGCGCTACCTCAGCTACATCAGCTGTTTAAGGAGGAAAGATTCAAGGGGCTGAGGATAAAGGGGGAGCCCAAGGAGGTGGGCTATTGTGAGACTTGCTTGACCAGCATGTTCTCACGGTTTCCCTTCCATTCGGCGGTGGGGCAGTCAAGTGACCCGGTGGAGCTCGTGCATGTGGATCTTGTGGGGCCCATGAAGGTGAAGGGATATGCTGGGGCTCTGTATTCCATGACTATGGTGGATGATTACACAAGGCTCACCTGGTCTTTTCCACTTGCAAAGAAGAGTGATGCTGCAAGGGTCATCATTGAAGAGTGGCTGCCCATGGTGGAGCGAGAGAGCGGCAAGTGGGTGAAGGCGATTCGTAGCGACCGTGGTGGGGAGTTTTTGGGAGCGGAGTTCCGGAGCTGGTTGAAGCGGCACGGCATCAAGAAGCAGCTCACCACGGCCTACACCCCTCAGTCCAACGGCGTGGCAGAGAGAGCGAACCGGACCATCATAGAGGGCGGGAGAACGATATTGGTGGACTCGGGTCTACCCTTGCGGTTGTGGACCCTCGCTATTCGTCATGCTACCGTCATCAAGAACCGGGTGTTGACTCATGTGGGAGGTCAGCAGTGGGTCCCTATGGAGAATTGGAGTGGCAAGAATCCCCTGGTGGATATGCTTCGTGTCTTCGGGTGCATGGGGCTCGTGCATGTCCCTAAGGAGAAGCGTGACAAGCTTCAAGAGGCGGCGGTGTGGGCTGTCCATTTGGGTCTTGCACGGGGGAGCAAGGGCTGGCTCATGTGGGACCCAAATTCCAACACCATCTTCACCACCAGAGATGCCAAGTTCATGGAGGGGCTCATGTTCGAGGAATGGTTGGAGTGGGGGAGGAGCAAGGTCACCATTCCGCTTGGAATAGAGGTGGGAACGAACGACCCACTTCTTATTCCCATAGAGTTGTCTTCAACTTCAGAGGCGACGGAGGTGTCACACGACTTGGGAGGTGCTGAAATGGAGGCAGCAGAGGTGGAGGGGGTGTTGCAGCAAGAGGGGGCCCCTGTAGCTGAGGGAGGTGGTGCCGAGGAGGAGGTGCAGCAGCTTACACGATCCCCTACGCTTCCACAAAGGCGGACTACCCAAGGGAAGCGCGGTGCTGTCCGTGGTGGAGCTAAGGAAGGTGCAGCCAAGGAGAGGCCCAAGAGAGCTGCTCACCTAAGGGATTTTCTCAAGTATGAAAGGCTTGGGGGTCCCAAGGCATTGCTGGTCCAAGAAGAGGAAGATGAGGAGGAGACGGTTGCCGTGGAGGAGATGGAGTAGATTTGGCATCAACTTACCTCATGAGCCGGCGTCAATGGAAGAAGCTCTCGCTGGAAATGATCGAGAGGCTTGGTTGGCTTCAAAGGAGGATGAGTTCTAGAGCCATATGGAGAATGAAACGTGGACCCTCACCAATCTGCCCCCGGGAAGAAACGCGTTGGACTGCACATGGGTGGTACATGTGAAGACCGATGCGGAGGGGAGGTTGGAGAGGCGCAAGACAATGCCGCACTCGCTTTCCCGCCCGTCACACTCGCTTCCCCACCCGTCGCCTTCACTTCCCCTCCCATTGCCTTTCACTCTCTGCTGCTCACTCTCTTTCCCCCTGCTCACTCTCTTTTTCACTGCTCACTCTCTTCCCCCCTGCCCACTCTTTTCCCCACCCTTCACTCTCTCCTCTCATGTTCACCCCCTGTTCTCACCCCTCTTCCCCCCTTCACTCAACCGTTCCCCCCTGCTCAACCTCTTTCCCTCTCCTCACTCTCTTCCCCCCTCCTCACTCTCTTCCCCCCCCACCTCACTCTCTTTCCCCCTGCTCACTCGCTTCCCCCCTCCTCAATCTCTTTCCCATGCTCATTCTCTTTCCATCTGCTCACTCCCCTTGTTCTCACCCCACTTTCCCCAATTCTCACCCATTTTCCCCCTTCACGCTCTCTTACCCCCTCTGCTCGCCCCTGTTTTCCCGGCTCACTCCTATACTCACTCTCTCCCTCCCTGTTCACTCTCTTCCCCCCTGCTCACTCTCTTTCCCCCCTGCTCACTCTCTTTCCCCCCTGCTCACTTTCTTTCCCCCTGTTCTCATCCCTCTTTCCCCCTTTCTCACCCATTTCCCCCCTGCTCGGTCTATTTCCCCCTGTGCTCGCCCCTAAAATCCCCTGCTCACTCCCTTACCCCTTGTTCACTCTCTCCCCCTCTGGTCACTCTCTTTCCCCCTGTACTCACCCATCTTTCCACCCTGTTTACTCTCTATTCCCCTTCGTTCAACCCTTCCCCCCCCCCAAGTCCTCTCATTTCCCCTCCTTAACCCCATGCTTACTGGCTATCCCCTTTGCTCACCGCCTTCTCCACCCTGCTCACTCTCTTCCCCGCTTCGCTCACTCCTCTGCCTAACTCCTCCCATACATGCCCTCCACCTTCACCCCTTGCTTATTCGTCCATATCCCCTCTTCCCTCTCCGTTCCATACAGAACCATGCTTGTACAGGTGCCAACACCATGAGTCCCAAAAGGAGTGGGTTGAAAAGTTACCACCTCCTAGCTTTGTGCTTGTGCTTATAGTCTTGTCTTGGCAACATAAATGGAACATTATTTTGCTTTGTTGCACTTTTTCATAATGCTCCAAATCACGATGTGGTGTATTATGAGACGCATCCAACCAACATCAATAACGGTACATGGCATAGTTATTGTAGACGACTACCGTCATCACCCGGATATAAGACAGCGTTGAATAGAAGACAGGGGGTGTCTATTATCCGGGTGTCTCTTATAAACGGGGTAGCCTCATTATAAGACACCTATTTGTGTGTACGAGTTAAGCCGGTGTAGGGGTTAGGGGCAATTGCATAACGAGGGGGTATCTTCTAAACGGTTTTGTGTCCATTTAAAAGACTTATAAGACACCCTAAACCGTCCCAAATACAAGACAACCCAAGCATTTTTGCCCGTGTACGAGATAAGACATGTATGTCCTAGGGAACATTCTTGGGGAGACACTTGTGTCTCAATCACTTTGTGACACCCAAAAACAACATAAACTGTATTGTATTCTAAATGCGAGTCACCTTTCAGCGACTTCTACTGTATTTTTTATCGGTCAGCGTGAAACACGCTGCCGTCGCTGACGAATTGCGAAACGACCCGTCATTGTAAAAAAATCGCACTCGACTCGAAATGCCCGATACGACCACATGCACCTGGACACCCAAAAATGCAAATTTCGCGAGGGAAAAAAATCCCGCGCATCGAAACCACACCCCTGCCCGGAGGTTGAAAAAACGGGTGTCCTGTCACCCAATCAAATGCACACTTTTGTACATTTCTCTTTGATCGCAGCCAATAAAAAGTTTCCAACTGTACCTGCCAATCTGACGCCCTACATCGCGGTACATTCGATGTTTGTGACGCGACATTGGGTAAATTTACAGGCGCGACTCGGGAAAATAGGGATTGAGACACAAGTGTCCCCACAGGAATGTTCCCTTATATCCGGGTGATTACGGTTATATTATCAAACCCTATACTCATCACAACTGGATGCATGGCAGACCTGCACAGACACGAACCACAAACTTTGATGCATGGTGGGGAACAAAGAATGCACGGAGGCAGAAAATGAGCAAGGGAGACACGGAGGAAGGGCGGAAGGGTGAGCGAGATGAAGCGTGGGTAGGGCAGAGAGAGCTGTTAGAATACTAGGAAGTGATGATGTCATTAGGTGAAGGGGGGGTACAAGAAGAATGTCGAGAGAAATATTGTACCCCCTAGTGCTAACCCCCATACAGCCTAGATAACCTAAACATGCATATATTGTTTGACACACCCCCATAGGCGAAATGGGGGATAGCCAGAGCAAGCAAAGGTCACAAGACCAGACAAGAGAAGAAACAAAACACAGCTCAGGGTGGATCACAAAGTCACCACACACTCTGAGCACAAGTAAGAGGCCACAAGGCCAGTTCACATGCAGAGATGTATATGCAGCAAAGCACAGTGATCACTACCTAACAAGAGCAAGCATGCAGGTATATATGTATGGATCACAGTACAAGCAAAGTCTACAGCAAGTGAGAAAACGTGGGCACAAGGCCTAAAAGAGTGCAGAAACGCTGATGATCACCAGAGGGAAGCGCCTTGGTGAATATATCAGCTGTGTTGGCCCGAGTGGCCACGTGAGCAAGACGAAGCTGACCACGCTGCTGCAACTCTCGAGCCAGGAAGTAACGCAGAGCGATGTGCTTCGTTCTGTGCTCCAGTCTGTGCTCCTGACACAAGGCAATGGCGGCCTTGTTGTCGACGCACAGCACTGGAGGAGAACGAGGCCGCTCTCCCAAGTCGGTCAGCAGGTAGGTGAGCCAGCGTAACTCCTGTGCAGCCATGGCTGTGGCGTAGATCTCAGCCTCACAACTGGAGCTGCGAACTGAAGACGAGCGTGTAGAACGCCAAGAGACTGAACCAGAGCCAAGGCTGAAGGTGTAACCCTGTGACGACCGCTGTGTAGCCTGGTCGTCAACCCAAGAAGCGTCTGCTTTCCCTTCTCGTTGCTCATCTTCCCCCTCCCCCCCCCCCCCCCCCCCCCCTTCTTCTCATTGCACACAACCAGCACCATCACATTCCCTTCCCCAGTGCCCTCGCTACACCCCCGTTCGGCCGCTATTCTCATTCCTTCTCCTTGAATCTGCACCGTTCATGAGCACCCCTCTTTGTCACTCACATCCCTTCTTGTCTTCACTCCCACTCTGTTTTTCCCCCACACCCTGGCTCACATTCCAAAAGGCTTAGTCCTTGCCATGAATATGCTGTTGGACACAAGGCAGTTCGTCCAGTCACGGGGAAAAGACAAACGGCGCGAAAAAGGACACGAGGATGGTGAGTGCAAGGCACAAAGAATCTCCTCTTGACTGCTCACCTCTACACTCCTCTCTTCTACTCCTTTGAACCCCTCACTTCTCTGTCAGTCCAACACCTCTCCAGTTCCCACCTCCTCATCTCTCCCATTCTCTCCTCAATTTCCCCTCCTCCCCTCACTTTTATCTCTGCCTCCCCTCTTTCCCCTTGCTTTCTCTCTTCCTCCCTGCCCACTCTGTTTCCCCCTGCTTTCTATCTTCCCCCCTGCTTTCTCTCTTCCCCCTTCCTCACTCTGTTTTCCCCCTGCTTTCTCTCTTTTCCACCGCTCATTGTTTTCCCCTGCTCACTCTCTTCCCCCGTGCTCACTCTCTTCCCCACTACTCACTCTCTTCCCCCCTGCTCACTCTCTTCCACCTTGCTCACTCTCTTCCCCCCTGCTCAGTCTCTTCCCCCTGCTCACTCTTTCCCCCCCTGCTTGCTCCGTTTGCCCCTGATTTCCCTCTTTCCCCCTGCTCATTAGGTTTTTCCCTGCTCACTCTCTCCACCCCAGCACACTCTCTTCCCCTTACTCACTCTCCTATTTTCTCCAACGTCCCACGGTCGCGCACCGAGTGAGACGCTCCACTGTCCACCATTGTCTAGAGGCGTCGTCCTTTGCATAGCACCTCGAGGAGTAGTGGTTGCTGCTGCTCCGAGTAGCTGAAGATAGTCTCATTTATGTTGCTCAGGATCCATCACTTTGAGAACTTACTACGAATTCATTTCTCAACTAAACGCAAATCCGCTTAGTACGATTATGCGCCATAGCCTTAGCTACCATCTCCAATTTGAATCAGTCGTGAAGATGGTCAATAGAGAGAGAACGACTTGAAAACATCCAGCAGCTGCATGACTGGAATGGTCAAGGAAGTACAAGCATTAAGAAATGGAAATTGTTGAAGTTGGGGAGTCCAAGAGAACCATGAGAGGGAAGGGGTTCTCCAATAGCTAGGGAAGGATCGTAGGAACCTTCCTAGCAGCAATGATGCAAACCTCATCATGAGGTCGTTGAGGCGTCACATGCAAAATCCAATCTAGTTGGATTTTGCCTAGGTGTTGCAACATTTGCAACCCACGCTAGAAACTTCTAGCTGCGGAGATAACTCGTACAACAGGAGCTAGTCTACGGGGTAGGCACGGGGTAGGAGTGACCGTAGCGTTCGTTTACTTGTGCTCACTCTACTTGCGCATTCACAGGGAGAGTTGGCAATAGTTTCACTAGCATACGTTTACAACAGAATGTTAATCAATGGCAAAGCAACACTGACTACATCAGGAGCTAGCATCCAAGCAGGTCGACTGCCAGCACAGCACGATCGACCACGCTCCAGCACTTCAAGGTCGATCGGGCTCCAGTAGAGCGAGGTCGCGGTCTGCCAGCGCTGCAAGTCGACGGCGTGCCAACGCTGCAGCAAGGCGGCTGCACGGCGTTGCACTCGCAGGACAGCAGCGCACCTGCTTCGCTGGTGCTCGCAACTGATTGGCATGCTGTGCTTCGTCACCTGCACAGCACAGACACGAAGTTGACCACGTGCCCACGTCTGCACCTGATCCTCCAGGTCGACCTCGGGATACCACCACCGAGGTCGGCTTTGCCAAAACCACCTGGGCGACTGTCGCGGACCTCCGCAGAACTTTGTCGCCCAGGTAACTTGGTCGACCTGGAAACCACCAGGTCGGCGTCGAAGTCCTCGGGGAAAGTTGACCGAAAGTTGTACGTGCTCGTCGACTGCCCAAGTCGACGACCACCAGCTGTCTTCACAAAGTCGGCCACTCCCCAAGTCGGCGCCACGAAGTCGGCGCCTCCAAAGGTCGACCTCGCCGGGTCGACCACCCGAACTCGGCGCCCTTCAAGTCGGCACCACTCTTCTTCGTGCCCGTCGACCGCCCAGGTCGACGGCCACCACCAGTCGACAACACCGACCGCACCCTCTGGTCGACCAACTCTAGGTGGACCAGTCCAGCTGTCAGCCGACCACACCAAGTCGGCTTCACCAAGTCGACGTCACCAAGTCGACGCCCTGCCAGGTCGACCTCCCAAGCCGGCCTCCCAAAGTCGGCGCCAGCCACTGCTGCAGGTCTTCTGCACCTCCCGCACACCCGACCACGAAGTCGGCTCCACCCAAGCGAGGACGAGGCCAACACACAACTCCCGTTGACACTAGCCACCCTAATCCAAAAGTCAAAGTTGCCTTTCTAACCACCCAACCAAAGATCCCTTTATAGTCATGTCCCTTCGGCGACTGTGATGGCCAACTTGCAGCGTCCAGCAACTGGAACTCTACAAGAAGGAAGCGAAGTTGGCCTCCCTCCTTGCCGGCCTCGGTTACCGCCACGTACTCCGACTCGGTTGACGACAACGTCGCGCACTTGATGCGTTGGCTAGACCAGGAGACGGCGGCCCCTCCGTAGACGAACACGTAGCCGCCCGTGCTCGTCCGGTTCTGCTTGTCACTGGCGTCGTCAGTGTCCAAGTAGCCGACCAGCTTCAGCGACTCTGGTCCA